CCCATCCAAAATGGCTCAAGCAAAGCCCAAGAATTTATGTGGGATTTAGAGGCCCAGAATTAAGCTCTGTTCGTTACGTGTTCTTTTTGGGCCTCCTTGTTCCCAAAAAATAAAAAAATAAAAAAATAAAAATCCTATATGTTAGAAAGTTTGAAGATTTTTTCAATAATATAATGATGGAAAGTGAAAATTTGTCAAATCAAGAAACGAATGGAGGGAAAGAACTAGGTTCCCCACTAGCAAACTCATAAATTCCTATTTTTGGTAACAAATCCAAGCATCAACAACTAGGCCACTCACCCACTCAACCATGAATATGATGGCCCCACCCCACCCAATGACTCCTCTCTCTCTCTCTCTCTCCCTCTTCATGTTTCACTTTTAATCTTTCTTTCTTTTTCTTTCCACATCTCCATAATTTCTTCTTTACGTGGAAAAGAAAAACTTTTTCCACAGTTCATGGATCACTTCATATGCTTGGACATGTTCATACGCATCTCCTACTAAGGAATAGGCATCCCCACCCCCACATACACATAAAATCACATTATTGGACTTGTTTCCTATCTCTTTCTAGTGGGAAAATTTTAATTGGAGTAGTATTATTGTCGCGTTGTAATACAAAATAGTTATAAAAAAAAAAAATCCAACTTATAACAAAAAAAGACACCGGTACATGGCCGCCCACGGATTGGTAGGAACCTGACTGTCAAGTTGTTTTTTATCTCTTTTTAATAAAAAAAATTTAAGTGAATTATCCTTATCACGTGACAGTACAAAATAGTAAAATAGTCACACTATACAAGTATTTATATCTTGATCGATTTTGTTTTTTGGAAGGAAGCGATTGGTGTTAGTAATGTAGGATTATAAAGTTGATGGGTGGGGCTAGAAGCCACTATTGGATTTTTGTACCACATATGGAAAAGAAGATACGAGTGGGAATGGTTCTTCCATGGCTGTGTGTAGACTTGGCACTGCTGGGTTCGCAAAGGAGCATTGGTGATTTGATTTTGAGGTCTCTTATTTCTGGCAAAGTGGGGAGCCATGTCTGAGGCTTTTCAAAATTATAAGTGTTGGTGTCATGTCATGCTCTTTGCTGTTGTTCGACTTCTTTTTTGGGTGCTCAAATTAGTGTCTTGTCACCAAAGTAAGCTTTAGGGTAATTGAGTCTGTTTAAGGTACGATAATTGACCTGATTATCAAATCTTTGAAAATTAAACATTAAGGTTTTTCTTTTTTGATTTGTTTTTTATTAAATTTTTTAAAAAAAAAAGAGGAAAAGGAAGAAAATGAAAGAATGGAAATCATATGGAGCCAGCTTTATGCGACAAGCATGTTCAATCATGGTCCCAAGGAGTTATTCAATTGCCAAGTGAAAGAGATGTTGAATATATTCGCAAATTTATATACAGCCGCAAATTTATTTATTTATATTTGTTCACATTCAAGTAAGAAATTTCGACTCATTGATCATCTTAGTTGTTTGTCCTCAAATGGACCGACCTTGCGACCTTTCAATTTTGTTTACTTATTTATTTCAATTTATTTATCCACATCTTTCTTTCAGAGTTTAATCTTATAAATAATTATGTATGAAAATAAATATCTGGTGTTTATAATGTGTTATAAATAATTATTAAGGTTATAATTAATAATCCATTTTACAAATTAATTAATTAAAACTTGGATTATCTAAGTGTTTATGTGTTATAATAACCTTTCTCCTTTTCTTTTTCCAATCCTCAAACAATTTGACAGCACCGCAGTGGACTAAAATGACAGAATGGTCCCAGTATAATGATAGCACAACGGAGAAAACCCACCGAGGAATAATAGAATTCTAAATTTGAGTAAAAAGCGTGAAAGATGGAAAAAGTTGTATACATATATATAAACACACACACACACATGGAAACGCAAATGGAGATTATGGCCCATAAAGAAAATGAGGTCAAATCCCATCAACTCCTTTTCCATATTCACACGCACGAAAAAGCTTTGAATTCAGAAAATGGTGGCAATGATGATGCCAAGAGGTTTTCAACTTCAAAAGTGAGAGGAATGTTGAATATTTACATATAATAACATGGCAAATGCATAATATAGTGACAGCCCAACACCTCTACAAACTGGAAACCCCTTATGTACTAACCTTGAATCGAATTATAGAATCAACGGCAAGTCCATCGGGCATCTGGTTTTAGTTCAAGTTTCCATCAATGGAAATTTGTTGCGATTATAAGCAAAAGCAAAGAGCTTGAATTTGTTCGTAGCTCCACCGAAAACACAAGCATGCAATATGTACCACCAAATGAGGTCTCAAATATGTCACTTTATACAACAAGGCCATCATTCAATCTAAGAACACATTGTTCTTTTCTAGTTTGTATAGCTCAGACACATCTCATGCTAGAAACGTGGGAGCAAATACTTTGACGACTAATAAGAAGGTGATACGTGGAAAAATGGATATTCTTTAGGTCGAATAATTATCCTAATTAGGGACTTATATTTGATTTAAGATAAGAATATCTTCCTAAATCAAGGAATCAATTTCTAGCAAATCTTTTTGATTAATTCCTATAATCTTTTTGGGCAAGAATAATCCTAATTAAATAAGGATTATTCTCCAAACCCTAATCAAACAACAACAAGTCTATAAATACATGGCTACACAACACACATAAGGTAATTCAAAATTCAATTTCCGAAATCCCCACAATCTCTCTCTCTCTCTCTCTCTCTCTCTCTCTCTCTCTCTCTCTCTCTCTCTCGTCACCAGCCACTCGGTTTTATCGTATTCGCAAGAGACACGTCACCAGCCACTCGATTTTATCGTATTCGAATCTCTTGCGAATATTCGAACAAAACAAAGGAATAATAAAAAGATATTTAACACTATTTTGGGTGGATCTATATGCCGACCATCTTACGCTTGTAAGAGAGCCAACGGAGTCAAACCTAGGGCAGACAAGAGGTCTCATATTTGAATCTCCCTCCCCTTTAGTTAGACTATCCCTCATACTATAATAAATAAAAAGAGTTGTATGAGAGTAAAGAATAATAACATTCGCATATTGATGTAAATTTTACAAAGTGTGAAAACACGAAAGAAAAGAAAGTAAAAGATATTTTGATTCCAAATAGACTTTCGGGAGTAGTCTCTTCGGTGGTTAACTTAAAAGTTAAAAGCGTGAAGTTGAAAAATGCAGAGTTTCCAGCTTTTCTGTAAGGAAATAAAGGTGGAGAGATTCCAAACGCAGGAGATCTTCCAAGACCAGATTCTCCCTTTTCCATATCTCTATCACGAAAACATTTCAAATAAATAAAAATGAACTTTAGCTACGATTTGTGTGCGACTGAGAATGTATGTCGTCTCTTTGGCCGTCGAGAAGCCAAACATTTAATTATTTATGCGAAAATGACAGCAACTTTTTTCACTTTCGCACTCGAAAATGACACCACAGTCACCACTCTGTCTCAAAGCATATAATTTCAGCTCATCACAAACTTTATTTTTTTACTCATGTAAAAATAAATATCTCTCTCTTTCATCCTCAACCCTCCACATGTCATCCATACAAAAAAGAAATTAAAAAAAACCCCATAAATATCTCTCTAATTACAAGGCTTGGTATATATCATAAACCCTAAATAATTCATTGACGGCAATATATAACGACTAACTGTATTTACTGGACAAGACAACCCTCGGTGAAGGATTGCTCTCCACTCAACCGAAAGCTGCTTTTAGGGTACCTACTTACTAGTCGATTTGGGAAGGGGGAAGAAGGTGGCTGGGAAAGGTCTATTTGAGTGAGAAGACTGTGTTTGGTATGCGGGAAAAAAGCAGCTGAAAAGGTTAGCAAAAGCATGAGCAAAGTAGCAACAAAAAACCACATCAAATCAAACACCTACTCTATTAAGCCCTTTTCTCTCTCACTCATATACATACAGAGTGCGTTGATGAATTCAGTCTGAAAGAGTTTGGGTGAGAAAGAAGCAAACTACCAAGGAACAGGAAGAGAAGAAAAGTAGAAAACCTTTGATGATGAATCATGAGAGGTCCATTCCATTCTTCTTCTTCTTCTTCTTCTTCTTCCAAAAAAAAAAAAAAAAAAGGAAGGAAATCTTTTCATAAATACGATTTAAACTTGATAATGATCAATGACATGTATGTGTATGGTGGTGGTTGTTTTGTTGGGGGTTTCTTTTCTTCCCCATCACTTTTCTACCTTTACATATTTCAAGCCAAGAGGTCCTCTTTCTCCATCCCTCTCAAAAATAATAAATTTTCTCTCGCTTTTTTTTTCTTTAATAACAAATACAAAATTGACTAGATTATTATAAAGTTACCTTGTCAAAAAAGTTTGAGATCATTAGCGGAGTCTAGTCCAGTGAAAAATAGTCTTGGTTTACACACTAACTAGTGATCTCATATTCATAGAACCTTAATACGTAGTGTGTGTGAGAAATCCCCCGAGCTCCTCCTCTTTTGTAATTCAGACTTTGTTTTTTTGTTCTTTTCGAAAACGATAAATTTATAATTAAGATTATAGCTTATATTAAAAAATTAATTATTCATCGTATTAATGATGGGAATAATATTATGAGGACTAGTGAGAGAGATAGATACTATATACCCATTTTCACTCCCAATAATAATATTGTTAAGTTGAAACAACTCAATGAGTCAACTCATAACACCACCCACCATGCTGTACACGTCAGCAGACAGTGACGTTGACTGTCAGTTTGTGGCCCACTCACTCAAAAAATTTAACTAAGTGGACAGAGCATCTTTCCCACAGTTCTCATTCTTTCACGCTTTCACTCTCCCCAAAACATGATGATCAACATGATCATCATGATATCTATGCTCAGCTGGTTTATTTTGCCTTTCTCCTGTGGGTCCCCAACTCCTTATGTGGGGCCCTCGTCCTTGTGTGGGCCACACCATCCACCCTCAACCAACACCACCACAGTCCAAACCCTCCACAGCAAACTTCTCTCCTTTCCTTCCCCAATAAATAATTAAAACCTCTCTCCCAAGCATGACACTTGACTCCCCCTATGCCCAAAATTCAGTCCATAATTTTTATCAAAATATTAAAAAGGTCCTCCTATTTTCTATAATCTAATCTATTTTTCTATTTGTTGGGTTCAAGAGGAATAAAAAAAAGTTGTAAAATCGTAATAAATTTTTGTTTTGTTTTGTTTTTAGTCTATTTGTATGCTCTGCGGCGATGCCTACGCCGGTTACTGTGGCCAGGCAATGCTTAACTCCGGAGGCAGCCCACGCGCTGGACGAGGCCGTGGCGGTGGCGCGACGCAGAGGCCACGGCCAAACGACGTCGCTGCACGCCGTGTCCGCTCTCCTTTCACTATCGTCCTCCACGCTGCGCGAGGCCTGCGCGCGCGCCCGAAACTCCGCCTACTCGCCGCGTCTCCAATTCAAGGCTCTCGAGCTCTGCCTCAGCGTCTCACTAGACCGGGTCCCCTCGACCCAACTCGCCGACGACCCGCCCGTGTCGAACTCGCTCATGGCCGCCGTCAAACGGTCGCAAGCCAACCAGAGAAGACAGCCCGAAAATTACCATCTCTACCACCAGCTCTCGCAGCAGTCCTCCATCTCCGCCGTTAAAGTGGAGCTCCAGCAGCTGATTCTCTCCATTCTCGACGACCCGGTTGTCAGTCGGGTCTTCGCCGAGGCGGGTTTTCGAAGCTCCGAAATTAAGCTCGCTATTTTGCGCCCTTTTCCTCAGCTCCTCAGGTACTCGCGCTCCAGAGCTCACCATCCTCTGTTTCTCTGCAACCTGACCGAGTATCCGGACCAGGTTCGCCGGACCCGACCCTCCTTTCCCTTCTCGGGTTCTTTAACCGACGGGGACGAGAATTCAAGGAGAATAGGAGAGGTTCTCATTAGAAACAGAGGAAGGAATCCTCTGCTTGTTGGTGTATACGCTTACGATGCGCTTAAGAGCTTCGTGGAAGCTTTGGAGAAAAGAAAAGATGGTGTTTTGCCTGTGGAGCTTTCTGGATTGAGTGTAGTTTCCACTGAAAAAGATTTCTCAAAGTTGATAACAGAGGATTGCGATAAAGGGTCTGTAAATTTGAAGTTTGGGGAGATGGGTCAGTTGGTAGAGCAGAGTTTGGGACCTGGGCTTGTTGTGAACATTGGAGACTTGAAGGCGTTTGTTGCAGACAATGCTTTAGGTGACTCAGTGAGTTACGTGGTTGCTCAATTGACCAGGTTGCTGGAGCTTCATCGTGGGAAAGTATGGTTGACTGGTGCCACAGCTAGCTATGGAAGCTACCTGAAATTTATTGGTAGGTTCCCGTCCATAGAAAAAGACTGGGACTTGCAGCTTCTGCCCATCACCTCTCTCAGACCTCCCTTGTCCGAATCGTATCCCAGGTCCAGGTGAGTTGTTGCTGCCCTGTAAATCTATGTATTGCATGGACTTGTTCTGTTTTAAATTTGATGCCATATGAGGTTGTGGAAGTTTTCTTTTGTTTGCTTCTGAATTATAAAATTATGTTATCTTTGCTTAGATGCTTCTGCATGTAGTTTTCCATATAATTTATTGCTGTGTAAAGTGAGAGTTGTACTTTCTTCTTATTGTTCTTTCTTTTTTTAAGTACAGATTTGTGGATTTGTGATATAGTTCTTTATTTGCGAAATTTAATATGTGGCTTGTACTTTCTGACATAGTTTGTAGTGATATAGCTTAATTTTTGGAGGAGTGAGGTGATTGACCAACGGCCTTTGTTTTTTTTTTTTTGCTGGAATATCGGCCAAATACCTGAGTTAGATAATATCAAGTTATATACTGCAATTTGAAATAGATTTATATGAGACCATATTTCATAGTCCATCCTCTAAGCTTTTGAAAAATATTTTTAGCTCTCATAAATTCATACTCCATCCTCTATGCATGTTTAAGTAATCAAAAGTGTGGAACACTTATGCATTTGTTGGAACTGTCTGTTCAGAATGTCTATTTTCCAGTTTGATTTCTGACTGTATGTGCCTGTTGAATCTCACAGTTTCCTGGTCATGATGTACTTACAGCTTGATGGAGTCATTTGTTCCATTTGGTGGATTCTTTTCAGCACCTTCTGACCTAAACCTCCCAATAAGTAGTTCATATCAGTGCGTGGCCCGCAATCATCCGTGCAATGAAAAATGTGGGCAAGAAGCATATGCTGCTCCGAAGGGTGGTGTTGCTGCTTCAATGGCAGGTCAGCATCAAGCTAGCTTGCCTTCTTGGTTGCAGATGGCTCCACTTGGCATAAGCAAGGGATTCGATACGAAGGTGTGTATCACGATCAATACATCTTCAATTCAGAAGGTTGAATTGTCAATATTGTGCTTTGTTTTTCTAGATGACAACCAGTTGGTGTTCTATCATTTGTTGGGATTTTGAAATCTTCACTTCAAACTACAGGTTTTTTTACATTATTCGTTTGAAAACTAGTTTGTATCTCTTCAGTGCAGACCAAAGATGATGGTGTGTTATTGAGTGCCAAAGTTACAGAGCTACGAGACAAATGGGGTGATACATGCCAACATCTTCATCACCCTCATCCCCTGCCTGAAGCAAACTTGTTTCCAACTATAGTGGGCTTTCAGTCTCCTGAAGACAAGGACAATCAAGGCAACAACACGAACATTTCTTCAAATAAAACTGAGTGCAAGAATACAAATTCATGCATGCCCATAGATGTGCAAACAAAATCAAGCGTTCCTCCCCAAGCTACTAATGACAGTTTCTCATCTGAAGTATGGGAAAAACCTTCGAAAGATGAAGATCTTGAGTCGGGTGGCCTCAGGTCTCCTTCCCTGTCCAATTCTAGTGTGGTTGACGGTAGCCGAACATCTGCTACATCTACCACTTCCGTGACCACAGATTTAGGGTTAGGAATATGCTCTTCTCCTGCTAGTAATACAGCCAATAAACCTCCAAATCAGAATCAAGGAGTTAAACAGGACATCTCAGGTTGCTTTTCCTCTAATGTAGATTTAGTCAATGGGAATCTCTATTCTGTTCAATCATCATCCTGCTCAAGTCTTGACAACCATGGGCAGTTTGATCCAAGTGATGCCAAGGTGCTTTTTAGAGCTCTCTTTGAGAGGGTTGGCTGGCAAATTGAAGCTATAAGTGTTATTAGCCAAAGAATAGCTCAAAATTTCGTTGGAGCAAGTCACAGAAGGGACATATGGTTCAATTTTACAGGACCTGATAGGTATGGCAAAAAGAAAACTGCTGTTGCCCTTGCTGAGGTATTATATGGAGGCCAGGAACAATTGATCTGTGTGGATCTGGATTCTCAGGACGGAATGATCCATTCAGACACAATCTTTGACTGTCAAGCAGTGAATGGTTATGATGTGAAGTTTAGAGGTAAGACGGTTGTTGATTATGTTGCCGGAGAATTGTGCAAGAAACCGTTGTCCGTTGTCTTCCTAGAAAATGTTGACAAGGCGGATGTGGTGACTCGAAATAGTTTGTCCCAGGCTTTATTGACTGGTAAGTTCTCAGACTCCCATGGAAGACAAGTCAGCACCAGTAATGCAATATTTGTTACAACTTCAAAATTCTCAAAGGGATGCAGTATTCTCACTTCCACAAACGGACCCTCCAACTATTCTGAGGAAAGAATCTTGCAAGCGAAAGGGCGGTCGGTGCAGATCACCATTGAATGTTCCTTTGAAGACAGCATGGCCATAAGCGAAAACTGGAGGGCATCCTCCAATACAACTAAAGAAGGCATATCCAACCAACATCTTCTGAATAAAAGGAAACTGATTGGTGTCAATGAGCCTCTAGAGCAGCATGAAGTCTCAGAGATGCCCAAACGTGCTAACAAGACATCAACTAGGTATCTGGATCTCAACCTTCCTGCCGAAGAAACTGCAGCACAAGACACAGACGATGGGAGCTCTGAAAACGACTGCCCATCTGAAAACTCCAATCCTTGGTTGCAAGAATTCTTTGAGCGGGTGGATGATACAGTGGTATTCAAACCGGTTGATTTTGATGCACTTGCTGAGAAAATATCGAAGGAGATCAAGAACAGTTTCCACAAGTTTGTTGACACCGAGTGTTTGCTAGAAATCGACTCAAAAGTCATGGAACAACTACTTGCAGCAGTGTATTTGACAGACAGGTATAAGGTGGTGGAAACTTGGGTGGAGCAAGTACTGAGCAGGGGATTTGCTGAAGTTCAGAAGAGATATAGCTCCAATGCAATTACTATGCTAAAACTTAAAACTTGTGAGGGGCTTTGCTTGGAGCAGCCAGCACCAAAAACTTTCCTTCCCCCCAGCATTATACTAAAATGATTTCCAAGAAAAGTGTATTCTTGTAATTATATAATATAAGGTAGCATGTAGCTTCTAGTAACCTTTGTTAGCCTCTTTCATTTTCTGTTTTCTGTGTTTTATTTATTTCTGGGCCTGTCCTTGTTTAGCCTCTTATCCCATGGTTTTAATGGGTTTTGCTTGTGCTTGTATGAAACTTCTATGTACCAATTAAGCTGTTTTGCCTTAAATGATGTGTAAAACTCCAAAAGAAAGTTGGGAAGGAATTTTATGTGAATAATTGTTACTAATTTCTTCCTAGCTTCTTTTTTTTTATTTTTTTGGGAGCAAATGCTCTATAAAATAGAAGCACCTTAAAAGAGTACAAAAGATAGCAATTTGTTCCTAGCTTTATTGTGTTCAATCAGACCATTGGTAATTTTTATTGTCTCCCATTTTATGTTACAAGCGATATTAAAAGAGGAGAAATTCGAACACAAAACCCCAAGCCCAAGCCTATTAACCAAATAGGACAAAGTTGAGGAATCAGAGTCATAAGCCAGCCCAAGCCCAAATGAAAGCCCAGGTCTCCTCCTTATCTAATCCAATCCCTTATTTTGTTTTCAAAAATATATATCAAATCACACACATTTGGGGAAAATGCCATCTTCGAGCCCTCGCACCGTCGAGGAGATCTTCAAGGACTACAGCGCTCGTCGCTCTGCTGTCATTCGCGCCCTTACCTACGGTTCTCTCTCTATCTGTGTTCTAAATTACATACAAAAAAATGCATGCTTTTTTATTTAGTGTGATGTTAATTGACGCTTTGCTTGTTTCTGCACTTTCAGATGTGGATGAGTTCTATTCGCTTTGCGATCCAGGTCGCTTCTTATTTCGGTTTTTTTATTTTTCTCTTCATTAGCTTTCTGTTTGGTTACCGAGAAAGTTGAGTAAAAATATAGGCTGGAGTATGTCTTTGTAATTATCATGAGATTTTGTTCTGTTTTGGTGCTTAGGGATAGTAGTCGTTATAGGTTCTGACTGAGTAGAAACGCTGAAAGGCATCAGATTTAGAATTGTTGTTTCATTTCTCTTTCTACATTTTGTAGGAAACCTAACAGAGCATATTATTTTTCAGTTTCCGCTTATAGCTTCTACTAATCGTATTCCATTGATGCCTTTAGTTTAATTTCAATCAAAATTTTATTGCTTGTTTCGCTTCCATTTGGAATGGGATGCTTTACTTATAAACTGTGTGTACGTTAATATCTTTCAGAGAAGGAGAATTTGTGCCTGTACGGACACCCAGATGAGTCGTGGGAGGTGACTCTGCCGGCAGAAGAAGTACCCCCGGAGCTTCCTGAGCCTGCACTGGGCATTAATTTTGCAAGAGATGGGATGAACCGTAAGGATTGGCTGTCATTGATTGCGGTACATAGTGATTCTTGGTTGCTCTCTGTGGCTTTCTACTTTGGTGCTCGCCTGAATCGAAATGAGAGGTTTGTTGTTCTTGTCCTGAGTTTACAGCTGATATTTTCGTGAATTCAAATGTTATTTTTGATGTTGTTTTCCTGTTCTCATTCACGCAGCAAAGATCTGTCTTTCAGGCATTCATAATATTTCATGAGCTCTTATTGCCTGTTTTCATGAAAGATTAGGGGCCGTTTGGCATCCGAAAACATTTTTTTATTTCTGAATACACTGGATCGTTTTCTCTGCCAGAAAACATGTTTGACACAGCATTTTCAAAAACAAATTTGCGAAAAGATCTTTAAAAACAGCCCATTTTTAGAAAACACTATAACATCCTTTTTTCAGTTTTCTAATTGTTGATTTCAGAATTGGGGATGATATCGTATGCGGATATCTTTTCTGTATATGTCAAATCAACCACCATCTGATGCCCAAAGCCCTCAATTGGAAACTTCACCTCTTCTTTTGAGCAGTCATTTTCATGAATTTCATTTCAGCAAGCTCCAAATCGTCAATGCTCTGGTTCCCAATTTGAATCAAGCCTGAAAGTAACTTTAGAAAATCTCATCTCCAAATCCTAAAACTTGATTGAGATTAACAGTTTTTGGTTTGTCAAGAAAACCCTAGCTTTTGACCCAAATTGAAGAGATCGATGAGCAGAGGAATGAGAAGGGTCTTCTTCCTTCTCTTTTTGAATCTGATAAAGAAAAAGAAAAAGAAATCCCCCTGTGGCCATGGCCTGATTGTGGGAAAGCACTCCTCACTAAATTGTGTTTTGGTTTAGTCTGAACTCTTCCCATTTTCTTTGTTTTGTTGATTTAGGGCCTAGCAGGCTTCCTTGATGTGTATTGTATTTCTGCTGTCCCTTTTGGGTGCCTTGATGAATTATGATTTCTGACCCAAAAAAAGAGGTAATACAGTAGTAGCCCACACAATGTGTCAGTCACATAAACAAAATGTGAGGCCTGTGAAGGGTCATATACTAGCCCAAACGTGTTTATTACTTTGTTATATAATTTGGTTTGATTTACATTAACATATTTAAAATGATAATTTAATAAAATACTTTGGAATTGTTTTCAGTGCCTAATTCCTTGGAATCATTTTTAAGTGAACAGGTTCCTGATATTTCGTTTGACATAAATGAATCCTCGCTGTATATTATGAGAATAATGACAAGAAAAAATAAAGTCTTTGTTGTTACAAGATAGTTGTTAATACTTGTTATACCTGGACAATACAATGAACTGTACTTAATTGAAGCTGCTGATTTATAAGCACAGACATCCAATTCAGAAATGTCATTTTCACTTCCCTTCTATAGTATTTCCTTGCCCACCCTCTAGCTTCCTGATTCAATAGATGTTGTTCATTGAGGAACTTAGTGTTAATTGTATAATGTGGTGTGTTGTCCCACCATTTCATTTTAGTGCAAATTATCTCCTGTACCTGGCCACCATATTGAAATTGTCACTAAACTAAAAGGTGGTTTGCTGGGCCATCAATCTTGGTAACCCCAAACAAAGAAGGTTGCAAGTGTGTACATAAATAACCATTTTTTTAAATCAACAGGAAGCGTCTATTTAGCTTGACAAATGATCTGCCTACAATCTTTGAAGTCGTAACTGGAAGGAAGCCAGTAAAAGACAAACCCAGTGCAGATAGTGGAAGTAAATCCAGGAACAGTGCAAAGGTGAAAATTTCTCCCTCTCTCTCTCTGAAAATAATTGCCTGCCAACTGAGCTTTGGATGGTCTTTCCCTTTATGCAAATTTTGGGCTTATGACCAATCTCTGTGTCTTTGCAGAGATCAATTGATGGACAAATAAAGAGCAATAATAAGTTACTCGATGGGAGTTATGTGGAGGATGAAGATGAGCATAGTGAAACCCTATGTGGAAGCTGTGGGGGAAATTACAGTGCTAATGAGTTTTGGATTGGCTGTGACATCTGCGAGAGGTGGTACCATGGGAAGTGTGTGAAGATAACACCAGCCAAGGCAGAATATATTCAGCAGTACAAATGTCCTTCTTGCAGCACAAAGAAAGGCAAGTAGTAGTGACTAATGAAAAGCTCGGCGTCCAGGGATTTTACCCCATTGTAATGGTCAATTGTACGGTCGGTAGATACTCTCTGACCACGGTTTTTCTTGTTTTATTCCCACTCTCCGGCCATGCTGCCATCATTAAAACCTAGTTTTATCCCCCCCCCCCCC